AAAAAAAAAAAAAAAAATTTAAATTAACTTTACTTTGCTCAAGTACATTCTGGGTAAAATAACTCACCCACTTGGCTGTTCACAGCCTTTATTTTACGCCTAAACATGAATGTTACTCTTTCCTTTTTTTATGTGTTCATATACACAAATATGCAGTCATTCAGTAGCACTTCACTAAGTGTCTGCCCTCTGTCAGGCATAGTGTCTAGTGTGGACGATACTCAGACGTGTAAGAAAAGGGCTGGGTCTTACAGTTTAGCATGTACATCAACTTTTTCTGGCTATAGGCCTGATGCTGGTAAGATTATTAAGTGCCTGCCACACTAATATGAACCTATCCCCCTGGTAGTCTATGAATTGAAGGTTGTTATTTTTGACACTTTGTTGATGTTTTATATAAAAAAAATTAATAAAAGCAAGTTTATCTCTTTCACCAAAGTCTTAACATGAAGGAAAAATAGTCCAAAGAGAGTTAGCCTAAGATTGAGCTGCTCTTACAAAGAAAACCATCTCTTTTCCTTGGCTTCCTTTTCTATTCTGTGGTAAAGCCATTATATCCCCCTTCCTGCTCTTCCATTTCTTCACACGCATGGATTACTGAGTCACTCATCTTCAACAGATATCTTTAACAGTTACTCAAACTTTCCAAAATATTCGGTGATTGTGGAGAGAAGCACATTTGCAAAGCTAATATTCCATGGGGTAATTCTAGCTTTGCAACTTTTTAGTGGGAAAAATAGTGCAACCATCCTAAATCTCTCTTTAAAAACCCACAAGATCTATAAATCTAAAGGAAATCTCACTTTTAAAAAGCAAATCAAGAGCTGGGCATAGGAGCACATGTCTATAATCCCAGAACTCTGGAAGGCTAAGACAAGAGGACTGCAAGTTTGAGTCTGGGCTGGGAGACTTAGTAAGATATTGTCTCAAATTTTGAAAAGACACGATGGGGATATAGCTCAGTGCAAAGGCTCTAGGTTCAATCCTCACTACCTCCAAAAATATCTGTATATTTTCATAGCATATTTATATCTATATCTATATCACAATTCAAACATCTGTCTATACTCTCTACCAAATAATCTTAAAGTAAAAAGTGACAGCTGGTAGCACCCAAACCAACAATTTGTTTTGATGCAGTTGAAAGTAGATGGTTTAGCTCAATTTGCCAAACATTTATTTTATTTCTGAAATTGAAGCTCAGATTAGCATGACAACAGAACATTTGGATGGTCTGAAAATTGGGACTTTTGGAAGTAGCTTCTGTCATGTGTCAATCAGAACAAAATATTCTGTTTGACTTTAGCACCGGCAAAACCCAGCCTGATTCTGTAAAATCACGCTATCACTAATCACTAACAATGAGAATGTCCAGAGCTATGAACACCTTCCCCAGTCTGGTTCCCAATGCCTAGTCCAGCTATCTCCACTGTCTCTTCTTGACCCCTTCATGCTGACCAAGTTCTGAATCCTAGTCCTTTCATAAGCCACACACATCCCTGCTATTTCACTTTCCAAGCTTCATCCTTGCCTTTCCAGCCTCAAAAAAGCCTCTTTCCTCTCCACACCATCTAATTCCTTCCCATCCTCCGCAACAGCAGCAGCTGTCACTTCTTTCTGAAGTGTCCTTTGACCAGGCCAGTTCAAAGTCTTCCCTTTGTGTGAAAAGACAGGGGCTTTTAAACAGGCAGGGGGGGGGGGGGGGGAACCTTCACTGTTTCATCATCTTTAAATCAGAGCTGCTGCAAGTCATCCCAACTGACACTCAAGTCATGAGTCACTTTCTTCTACAATTCATTCTTCAGTCCATCAGAGTCATCACTGTCAATTTGATCATGTCCCTCTCCTGTTTAAAATCTTTAGTTGGAAATTCCAGAATGCTGGAAGATCTATAACTGAGTTTCCAGAAACAGGTTAGTGAGCTAAGGCAGACCCAGCCCCTCCTTACCACGTCCCTTGACACAAACATAGAAATAATAGATGAAATATATCAAAAATTATGTAAAATGCATAGCTGAGCTTTAAAGCTACACACACCAGGCACGAAGAAGGAGCCTGATGTCAGCGTGAGTGATACACTTGTGGTTTGAGTTCTGAGATATTGGGTAAGGGAAGGAATTAGACCTACATTTAGGCCCCAAAGGATAGCAGTGGGTTGTTAATAATTAAAGACAAGAGAGGTAGTCTTGGGCCCACATGCAGTAAAGAGCTGGATCTGAGATCTCTGAGCTAAGACCCTGGATAAGTCATCTTTTCAGTGAAAGGGTGAATAAAACAGGCTTCCTACTGTCCCAAGAAACCGACAATACTGTGTACCCTACCCTATGCAGGGTCCTCCCATGAGATACTGAAGTTTCAAACTTGCACCACACAGAGGGGTTGGAGTCACAATTTACAATGCCTTCCTTGTATAAGAATTTCCAAGCTAAACTTTTGGGAGGAGAATTAGTCTCAGACTGATGAAACCTCTGGGCGCCTAGCAGAAGAAAATATAAATCACTATACTTTCCAGGGATGTTTTCCAAGTTTTTCTTGTTGTTTATTTTTAGGGTTTTTTTTTTTTTGATTGTTTGGTGTTGGTTGTTTTTTTGATGGAGATCAAACCCACAGGGATATTTTCTTAGTTGAAAATACAACTGACTTTCTCAGGAAAAAAAAAAACTAAACTAAAAAAAAAATCTCACACAATTATGAACGGCAAGAGAGAACAACTCACCACAGATAAAACAAAAAGAAATATTAGCAAGAAGCTGAGATAATAGGACTGGAGAGAGCTGACAAAATAGGTATTTTAAATTATATTGTTAAATGTATAGAAATGATTATCTAAAACAGGATTATATGACAAGAGAAGATCAATACAGTTCCTCTAGAAATGAAAAAAATATCGTTTATGAGAATCACTCTCTAGATTAACAACAGATTGGACAAAGGTGAAGAAAAACTTGGATCTTCAAGAAATTTCCCAGACTGCAACACGGACAGAGAAAGAGACAGGAAAAGTGAAAAGAGATTAAGAGACTTAAAATACAAGCTAAATTATTTACCCTTTTTGATAGCTCTGTGAAAATGGATCTCAGCTCTTCAAAAAAAAAAAATATATATATATATATATATTATTGTTTGATGGCTTGATGTTAAGCCATGTCGCAGAGGGCACTTGGGAAACATTGCGAGGGCAGAGTTCTGCCTTCTGTGCTGGTGTGAATGCTCATGTGACGTTTCACTGTGGAAGGGGTTATATGAACTTGTATAGTCACAGAACAAAGGAAAGTCATAAATCAATGCATTTACCAAGTATATTGTAATTCATTATAATTGATATAGCAATTACACCAAGGGGGTCTAAGGAGTCATCAGCAGTGTCTTTTGGATCTCTTTAATATAGTTTTGGCTTGGTGGTGTAGAACTTCAGCATGAGTAACTCCATTTTAGTTTGGTCTGTTGGGCCTAATACAGGAGCTCAGAGCAAACCAGTGGCTTCCTGGAAGTTTTATTTACAGTTGTAAGTTCCTGGGGAAGAGAAGGAAAAGGGCTATTTCAGAATGCTGTGATCATATAACACTGTCTGAGTGGATCCTTCCAAAGACCACAGGGCCTTTTAACTGGTTTAAGTAAGACCAGGGTGGGCCTGTTCTAATGCGGCTTCTACACCACTCCCAGATTCATCTTCCAAGAACACTGACTCTGCCCTGTGCCTCTTTCTAGCTTGATTCCCACAGAATGACTTCTGTCCCAATTGCTCCCGGCATCAGGGCAAACAACTTGCGTGGCTTCATTGTCATATCTTTGCCTAGGTCATTCTCTCTACCTTAAAAAACTGAAAATTTACCTTTAAAAAAAAACACACACACACACACAACTCAAATTGTACCTTCTTTGAAGTTTCCCAAAAATACCAATCAGTGGGACCAGTTAGCTCTTGTGAAAAGAAAAGGATGGTCAGGGTTAGTGTCCTGGTTGTAAGGTCTGTACAGTTCACAGGGCCTTGGATTAAAAGACCTCAAACTTGATTTAATGCTCTTCTGCTGGTGTTATGGTTTATATTCAGATGTCTCCCCCAACACCGGGCACTATACCCATGGGTGGATTATTCCACTGCTGAGTTTATAGCAAAATGTGCTGTTAGGAGATAAGAACATGCTGGAAAAGGTGGGTGGATCCTGGGAGAATATGTCTCCCTCCCCTACTCCTTTCTTTGCTCTGTTTCCTGGTTGCCATGGGGTGAGCAGCTTTTCCTCCACTATGCCCTGCTGCTGCACCATCCTGCCATGGAGCCTGTGCCAGACTGTGGACTGAAATATAAGCCAAAGTAAACCTTTCCCCCGTTAAGTTGTGGGCATCAGGTATTTTGTCTAGAAATGAAGAAAGTGACTGAGACAGTTGCTATCTTGAAATAACCAAAATTTTTAAACAAGAATCCCCCACTTTTATTTTACTACAGCCCCCCAAATTATGTAGCCAACCTTTATAGCTGTGTTCACTAAGGACCAAAGTTGTATCTCTCTATTAGGTGCCAGGGCTGCTCAGGTCAGATCATGGTTGTCTGAGTCCTCATAGAGCTAGAAAACACAGTCGAAAAGCATTCGCTTCCCCTTCAGTTCAGTTAACTCAACCTATTGAAGATGCATCTGACTGGCTTTATACAGAGGGGCTATAGGTCTTTAACCCTCATTAAAACAATTAT